TGCTCTTCATATAAGAACTCCGGGAGAACGTCAGAAAGTAGCTAATTACAAACAGAATGAAACATATTTTAGCATTGCCAATTTATTTTTAAAGGTGAAGAAGGTAAAGGAATGCAGAGCGGATCAGCTTTGCCTAAAGAAAAGAAACAAAAGGTGTATTTTGGCCTCGTCTGTAGATAAGTTTAGGGCAACTGTCTAGGCCCTTTGATAGATGTCATGAAAATAGAAACAATAAAAAGATATATATTTGATGTGCTCAAAAATCAGCAGTAACAGTCAGTGGACTGTAGACAGACAGATTATTGCTTAACCAACGACAGTTTTGGTTTCGATGTGTTAACATTGTCGAGTAAACATCAGCTTATACACACCCACCTGTCTAGATTATTGTTACTAGTGAAAGATTCAATCGATATAGCCATGACTCCTCTTGTTTCTGTAACAACCCACATACGTTACAATGAATAGGAACATGACTCTTAACCCTTAGTACTCAGACTGCAGTTAAAAAACAGTTGAACAAACCTTATTTATTACAAAAAAACATTTTTCGTTTGAACTTATTGTTTAAAGGTTCTTTCGCTATTTTATGGTTCTTGTAATAGACCGTTAAAACTGCCAATTGCAATCAAATCGTAAAACTATAAAAAACCACTGCCCTGAAAGGCGTCAACTCAAAACTGTAACAGACGCTCACCGTTTCCAGGGTCTAAGCTATGAAGATTTTAATTTTTCTGAGTCTTTGCGTTACACTTGCTTTGGTGAGTTTCTTTGAAATTATTGCAATGATTTCATGGTTTTCATATGTATGAAAAGTATTTTTTCCTTCGACGAAATCTTTTGTTTTCAGCGGTGTTACCAACAAGAAAGAGAAACAATACATTTTTCTTTCTTCATGCTACGAAAATTACGTCTTTGTCCAAATTTACCAATTAATTTTGATTGTTCTTCTTCTTTTGGAAGTTATAGATGGAATTAAAAGCGATGATTGAATAATTCATGTTAAAGTGATTATCAGTTTTATGGTTGTTTCGCTATAGGTTCGTGAAATTGATTTTGCCTAGGAGGAGGGTTTTTTATAATCTTTTCATTTGCGTAATTCTCTCATGTCCTCATTGTGACATTAAATTTTTGTTATTCCCAGGGATGTTCAAATCTTCCCGAACTGGCAGCTTGCAACAGACAGGTGAGTTAACCACAGTAATTTTCTAACTTCTATGGCTAAGAAAGACAAGTGATATTTCTCTTCTCTCACCTCCTTGAAAATTCATTTATGTTACATGCATATGAGAAATTAATGTTCGTTCATTAAATTAGGTTCGATTAATAACCGCTGTTCGGGAAAGAAGCGCGCGCTCCTCCCAGATCTCTTCTCGGGGAGGAACGTAGACCGAGAGCGACGGAAATCGAGCCTATCATTGACTCCACGGGTGG